ATATATATACATATATATACATACACACATATATATATATATATATATATATATATATACAGACGGATGGCAAAACTATGACGACTTAACGTGATGGCACAACAATGGTTAATTTTCTTTGAAATATCCTATTGACAAATTTTGTTGTAATGTGTCTTCACGATTTTTCAAATACTACAATCTAATGATCTTTGAAACAAATGTTGATCAGAATTACAATTTTGAAAAAATATTTTATTGAATAAAAGGTGAAGGCTTGATTTTTTTAAAAATAGCACTATATTTTTTTTGACATTTTAGGATTGTAGTGGATGTTGAAATGAATGCAACCACTTATTATACACAATATGTTTGTTATAATATAAGATAATCTTAAATTAAATGATCGTAAATCGTTACAAATTGTTCGTAATCAGAGAGAGAAAAAAAAATGAAAAACATACACAATGCAATACAAATAACTGAGAATTAAATTTTATTCAGAACGTACATATATCTACCTAATAATGAAGATAAATGTTCAAACTGATTTCTGAATGCAGTAAGTCAATGTTATGTATTGCATAATTAACTTGCATAAAATCACATCATAGCGAATAATTCGTGATGATTTCTGAATTTAAAGTTATAGTATAAAAGTAAATGGTTGTATTCGACTATGCGAAGTTAAAAAAATATAATTCTATTAGGAAAAGTCAAAATAAATGTGACCTTTGATTTTACGTAATTATTTATCTTAGGAGCTCCTTATTTTGAAATATATTATCGTTTTGAATAACTTTCCCCTATACATGTTACTACCACTTGGCTGTACTACTTGCTTTTGAAATATTCACAAAAATATATCAAATAGTCTAAGAGATATTGAGCCTTTTGCTCACGAAATAGCGTTAGTGTCCCAAATCTCAGGGTATATAAGTCGCAGCGGGTCAGGCGGGCTGGCATTTGAAGCTAGTAGATGTGCAAAAAAGTGTTGGAATTCTGGAAACTCAGACGTAAGTCATTACGCCGTGAAGATGAATGAACCGCAAAACTATGCTACATTTTACAATTTTATTTCGATTAAGGTACAAATGCTGTGCAGGCCCATGAAGAAATTTGTGCTGTTTATGAGTAAGATACGTTATCAAAGGCAACAGCCAAAAGATGATTTACTCGCTTTCGTTCTGGAAATTTCGTTGTTCAAGATGCTCCTCGCAGTGGGGGATCAATCAGAAAAAGTGGATGATATTCTGGCAAAAGTCGAGCAAAATCGGCATGTAAGCAGTCATAACATCGCCAAGGACCTAAACATCCATCGC